TATATATACACACACACACACACACACACACAAATAAGCAGAATAGAAAATAGATCAATGGAAGATTTTAAAAATAAGATCTAATTTGCATGATACTGAAGAGTACTGGCAGGCGGTTAAGAGCAGGATTCATTCAACATAGATTTATTGAGTACTTACTGTGAACCCAGCACTTTTCAAAACACTGACAATAAAAATACTGTGAAACAAATTCATACTCTTGTGGAATTTTCAAGATTACTTGGCTTGAGATTACAGGCTGGACATTACTTTTTTGAAGGGTCATATGTTTAGGCTAGAGAAAGGCAATGCGATTGTTGGATGTTATTTGGCAAGTATGTGATGCCTAGGCTTATGGTAGATCTGCTTGTTTAGGGGGCTGTCTCTTGCTGGCATCAGCTGTCTGAGGTATGAAAAGGATGGATTATTACATTCATAGTGATTTAGGTTTTTGCCTGGTAGATGCAGTGCACATACAGAGAGACTAAGAAATTTTAGGATTTTGGCAAGAGAGTAAATAAAATGGTTATATATGAAATCTGAGCTGGAGTGGAGGCAAAGAAAGCAGGGGTGAATGATTAGAGAGGATGGAGAGAGGCCAGAAGACCCACTGGTGGTGAAGACCTGGTGTATGGGGCATGATTAGGTTTCTGGGTGTTGGGATACTGTGATTGTGCATAGATAACTTTAATCATGGAGTGGTCGCTGCTGATGATGACAGGGTCTTCTGTACAGAAGGGAGGGCGCTGAGATACAGCCAAGATTGGTAGCTGAGTCTTTGTCAGAGGCAGGCAGCATATATTTTAGAAGAAGCGATCACCAGCTCTTCTTAACTCTGGAGTTCAAGGGATGGAATTAGCCCTGGAAACATTTGAGGGCTGCATTCTCAGGTCAAAATGTTTTATTGTTTGGTAGCAAGACTCAGGACCAAAAGGTAACAAGCCCAGGTTCTGTGTGCTTACCCTCTTTGGACTCCATTTTCTTCAATTTATAAAATCAAGATTCCAAGAGACTTGGAGGAAAACAAAAATCTCAATCTGAAAGCACAATTCACTTATGAACCTGTCAGCTTCTCTTAATGGAGGAAGTAGCCCTCCCTATGATGAATGGATGAAAAAGAGACATCTGAATTTCAATGAAAGAGGAGGTTTAGTTG